TCCTGGGTCTTACACTCTATTAACCTCCTCTGGCGTGCGGGAAGGGCGGCGGAGGGATAATCCCCACATGTCGATGTCTCCTGGTTTGCGGAGGACCGGAGCCGTGTGAGGTTTGCCTCCTGTTTGAGACTCTGAATCCTGCTGCGCTGAAAAGGATAATTCAAATGAAAGAGAATTCCCGTGAGGGCACGGTGCCGTGAAGCCCCGTAGCTCTGGGGCGGCTTTGCTCTCTTGAACACCTCTTTGCAGAAGCAGGCGCTGGGTTGCTTTGCTGGGCTCAGCACCTCCAGGAGTCACCAGCCAATTTGGGGGTGGGGGGACCCCAGTTTGCTGCTGCCCTGTGGTTTGGGTCTTGTTTTATATTGCTGTGTCGGGAACTGGCTTTGCCCCTGCGCAGAGGAGAAGTGCAGGGCCACGCCGTGGGTTATGGGGGCGAATCTGCATCCCCTGGTGCCGAAGCCAGGACCAAGTCGGGGTGGGAGGGCAGAGGGTGTCAGAGAGTGGATTTTGGGGAAGGAGCAAGACGTGGTAACCTGCACACCTGGGAATACACACCCTCAATGACTGACTCGGGATGGTTTTGGGAAGCTGTTGCATGCTTGTATCAGGACTAATGTGGCCAGCAGGAGCAGGGCAGTGACCGTGCCCCTGTCCTGGGCACTGGTGAGGCCGCCCCTCAAATGCTGGGTTCAGTGTTGGGCCCCTTGCTCCCAGAAGGACATGGAGGGGCTGGAGCGTGTCCAGAGAAGGGCAACAAAGCTGGGGAGGAGGGGAGCCCTCATCGCTCCCTACAACTGCCTGAGAGGAGGGGGGAGCCAGGGGGGGTGTGTGTCAGTCTCTGCTCCCAGGGTGACAGGACGAGGGGAAACGGCCTCAGATTGTGCCAGGGGAGGTTTAGGTTGGACATTAGGAAAAATTTCTTCACCGAAAGGGCTGTCAAGCACCAGAAGGCGCTGCCCAGCGAAGGGGTTGAGCCCCCATCCCTGGGGGGATTTAAAAGCCGGACAGACACGGTGCTTAGGGCCAGGGTTTAGTGGTGGGATGGCAGGGTTAGGGGAATGGTTGGGCTTGATGATCTTAAAGGGCTTTTCCAACCTAAACGATCCTTTGGTACCTTGAGGACACCGTGGTGATGTGGGGAGGCGCCCGTTCTAACAGGTTGCTCCCGGTGGGAGAGGGATAAAGCTGGAACCGAGCATCCTGCTGCAAGAAGGCAGCTCTCTCCTGCCGGGACCCAGCCCGAAATCACCCGGTGGGGGCTCGCAGGACGGGGCGGGCACCCACGGCGGGGCTCTACCCG